CACAAGACTGGTTAAACTGCAGGACCATGTAAGAAATGATCTTACTCTTGTCAGGGAACAGATATTTTGATCGGGTGTAATGATAAGGAAAAAGAGGTTGACCCTGGTTTACTAATTATAGTATCCTTCCGGTCCCGATCGTTAGCATTACATATAGGAACCAAAACATGACAGACTTTAATCAGGATATCAGCATGCAACATAAATGAGAAAGAGAGAATCTGAGCAGCATTCGAATAAAAACCTTTCCCATCTACGATACTGCCGCTATGTTATAGTAGAATTGTTGAAAGATGAGAATTTAGTGTTTTTCCGTTCTGTACCAGCGAGAAGGCATTTGAATTACGAAAAAAGTTGTTAACCAAAAATTTATTTGCCTGATAAATATGTGTGTATATTAACAGTCAAAATCTCAGAACAAACATTTATCTCCAACGACGTGTAGAATGAGAAATCTAAACAATTCTAGGAATGGAGCTCGGGGAAACTGACAGCCATCTGCTTCCATTAAACCTGTGGTATATGCACATCGTGAATTGTCTCATGATTTCATCTCAGTCTCTCCCGAGGTACTCGTGCGATCTGAATTATAAATGAGTCTCGTATGTGAGCTTTCGCTACTGTTGCATAGATCTGACAGAGTTAGTCTATTTGAAGATAATCGCGCTGTTGGCTGGGTGACAGCTGCATTGCAACAAGTCATTACATCAAGATACAAATAATGCCACAACGTTTTTCTGTGATTCCACTAAACGCAGGTTTTTCCTCAAATACAATACGCATAGTGGCATCTCGCGCTTCTCTTTCTCAGAGATGGCCCATTTCATTTTCTTGAACATACAGCTGGCAAGTATGATTTCAGACGCACAGATTGTCCCCTCCTGGAGGTGTGTGTGTCAGTGAATTAACTTGTAGAATAATAGCTGTTTCTTTCTGTGTTGATTTCGTCCAAGCGAAATCGTAATGGAAGGTGTATTGCAGCGTACGAGCTGCTGAGCGACCGACTAGTAGCATCCTAAGAGCCCGAGATTTTGAGAGCGAAGGGTTCGTAGTAATGTGATCAGACAAAAGCTTTTTCAGTATCAAATTTTATAGCGAGACATTTCTTCGACCTTAGTTGCTGATCGACTGGAGGGGTGCCTTTAAAGGGCGAAGGATTCAAGGTATTTGAGCGGCTGCAAAAAATGTTTCTGGCATCATTCCTTCGTGGTATTCTCTTTATACCCACAAATGCTGTTGCAGAGTATGGTACTCATAATATGCTAAAGTTAAACAGTAAAATTATTTGGTTGTACGCCGGAAAACAAAAAGCGAAAACTTTTCTTTGACCCGATTTGTCAGCGCATTGTACTGCCTGCTCGCTTTTAATTGCTTACCGGACTATTTCAACAGATACGCAGCTCCACAATACTTGAAAATCCAGAGCACAGCACATGGCGAAGCGAATAGAAATTTGCAATTATTTGATCACCAACTTAGATTTATTATCTTCGTGGTTGACCAATCAAGCGTTTTCTTTTACAACATAATGATCATGTCAAAAAGGGTGGGAAATGAAACCCACAGTGGTTTATATGATTGTTTGCGCCAGAGTTAGTCTGTGTTGATCAATTCCAATATTAATCTTCTGAAAGTCTTTCTCATCCAAATCAATTCATTACTGTCATCATAAATAAAATAGCCTGCATTTGCCATTATCAGTAATTATGGATAGTGATCAAGTTTATTGTAAAACATAGAATCTAACTTGAGTTAGTGATCAGAGAATTACTACACATCTCAGCTAATAAGAACAAGCCAAGCGACACTTGCACAGTTTTCTTTTACATCTCTATAGGATGGTTACTGTATCCGTCTATTGAAATTACATGAGTTTCAGATAATACTGTAACGCCCGTTGTTTGGTTTACGTTCCGAAGGGCGTTGTCATGTGAACAAAACTTTGATAGCAGTGTAACGAACGTTTCGTAATACGAGCATTTGTCTTGCGCCAAAAACTTATTGAATCGGAAACTAAAAAGATTTCCTAAATTCATAACGGCAATATTTATTTCGAAAACAATCAGCGCTTTACATCATGCCTGTGTAGTGCAAATACTACTTGATTTCGTTAGGAACTTCACCTCTCAAGAATATAAACTGTTTCTTCTAGTCTAACTGTGGTTCTAATTAAGATTATGGTAAAAAGTGGGACATTGCATTGAGTAGGGACTATAGAATCGTCAATCACTGGATTTGTAGACGATGACTACCCTTGTTTTGCCTTTCACCAATGATTATACTTGGAGTATAATCTTCATCTTCCATGGCCGCTTCTCCTTTCGGGTCGCGAAACCAGACTTATCAGGCAGTTCTTCTAACGTTCCCGATCCTGTGTCAGAGTATGAGCTTTGGCAGAACACAAGTGGAGTCTGGAACAGACACCTTCAATATCGTTGCACTAGGTTAATCTTGCACGTCCCCTGAGCCTTCTGCCGGTCGCTTTGCCAGGAAGTTGCTTGGCCTTCCTTTCTGGAGGCATTCGCAACAC